ATCACAAAGCATCCTGGGTTGGAAGGGACACGCAACTCCTAGCTTTACATGAGATCTCCCAGAATTCAAATGCTGTGTCTGAGAGCACTGTCTGAACTTCTTGAACTCGGTCAGCCTGAGGCTGTGACCCTGGGGACCCTGTTTCAGTGCCTGATGGCTCTCTGGGGAAGAAACTTTTCCATGTCAAGCTGACCCTCCCCTGATGCAGCTCTATGCTGTTCTCTCCTGTCGCTGCCACCAGTGAGCAGTGCTCAGTGCTTTCATTCCAATTCCTTTCTGGAGAAGCTGTAGGCTTCCATGAAGCATCCCCTCAGCCCTCGTCTGCTCTGGGCTGAACAAGCAGTGGCTTCTTGTAAGTCTTGCCCCCTGAGCCCCTCAACACCTTCTAGTGTAGAATCATTAAGGTTGGAAGAGACAGCTAAGATCACCTAGTCCAACTAGCAACCTGTCACTGCCACATCACTAAACCATGTAACTCCCCTCAACACCTTCCCTTTTCTTGAACACCTCCAGGGACGCTGACTGCACTTGGGCAGCCTGTTGCAATAACTCACCCCTCTTTCTGAGAACAAGTTTTTCCTAATATCCAACCTAAACCTCCTCTGGCATAACTTCAGGCTGTTCCCTCTCATCCTATCACTAGCTATCTGGCAAAAGAAGCTGACCCCCACCTCACTAGAGCCTCCTATCAGATAGTTGTAAAGAGTGAGTTGTAGCCCTTCCTTGGAAACTTTCTAAGAAGTTTACTTTTTTTAATACAGCGATGCCCAAACCAAAGCACGCAGTGCTTAAAGCAAGGCTACAGAATGGTATGATCCCTTCCCTTGCTGAGCTGGTGGGCCAGGCCCAATGTACCACAGGGTTGGCTCTCTTTGCTGCTGGGGCATGTGGCTGACTTGAATTTAACTTGCCATTGACTGCAGCCCCCAAGATTCCTTTCCACAGGGCTGCTCTCCAGCCTCTCATGCTCCAGTCTGTATGGGTAGCTGGGGTTGGCCCAACCCAGGTGCAGAACATGCAGTTGCTCTCATCAACCTTCATGTGGTTGGTGACTGTACAGCTTACTGAAGTGCTGAGATCTCTCTGCAGAGCCTTTCTGTCCGTGAGGAGTCAGCTGCTCTTCCTAGTTTAGTGCCATCAGTAAACACACTGAATACACATTCCAGTCCTGTATCCAGATCATTTATAGAAATACTGAAGAGAATGGGCTCTGAAATGAAGCCCTGTGGAATCTGAGTAGCGACTGTCTGCCAGCCTCTTGCGATTTCATTTATTCCAATGCTTTAAGCTTCTTTTGCATGGGGCTATTATAACTGTTTAGTGTTTTGTTTGTTTTAAGATGTACAATTAAGAAGGGCTATGTTCTGATACGGGATTTAGTTTTCAGATCCACTTGCCTGACAAAGATTTTCCTCACACAGGCACACTGAGGCCACAGGTGAAGACATCTAGTTTTTGTAATGCAGGCATTCTCTTAAGTGGCTGGATACTGCTGAGCAGCGATCAACTCGTAGGAACAGTTAAAAACAGAAGATACAGCAATTATTGAATCAGAATGTATTAGACAGTTGAAGTTAATGGACACATCTCCCTAATATACAAACGTAACAAGATGTCGATGGTTTGTGGGTTGATTCAGCCCAGTTCCATGACTAGCAGGGCAGAGGCAGCCATGGATCTCCAGACCTTGAGAAGGTCTCAGATAGGCAGTGACCTCCAGCAAGACAGCTGTGCCTCCACTGCCAACCCTTTAATGAGGTCTGCACTGGATGCACCTCAGCTCCCCAGGTTCTGTTGGCCCTGTCTTCCCACCAGGTGCTCCATCTCTGGTTCAAGCCATGATTTAGAATTTCTGCTACACCCTGAATGTAAAAGCACACACACACAGATGAAAACATCTGCCAAAGTAACCTCCTATAAAATTTCATTACAAAAATTCACCATTTATTTAGGACCCGTGGGCCAAATGCTGCTTAATGAGACAACCCAAACTATAAATCAATGAGTTAGTCCCACAGCATTCATTTCTCTACACGCCAGCTAAAAGTTGGGCTCAGAAAGACATGTCTGTTTAACCTGTGACATGGGTGCACAAACACGACAAAACAAGAGAGTGTGTGGAAGAATGCAGATAAGAAGAGGATTTTGTGAGAACCTAGGGAAAATCTAGGTAAGATTATTAATACTGGAAGAGTTTTAAGAAGGGCTAGTTTTCATTTCAAACTAGAAGCAGCAAAACTGATTCATAGTATTGTGAGATTGAAATGCAAATGGAAAGACGTGCAATGGAAACAGGCAATCCTATCTCGTTACACATGCATTATTCTGAGCTCTATGCTTTGTCTATGCTTTGCTGCTCGCAGCATTTGCTGACTGGCAAATACATATTAACTGAGTGAAAATGTTTAGGGATTCGACATTCATTGGCAAGGACAAAGCTCATCATCTGCGTTCTTTGCAGCTGCTGATACTCAGCCTACACACCCCTACTCTGATGTCAGTGGTCTAAACGAGGACCATACCCTAACTGACAGTTTAATCCCAGGAAATCTCTGTTGAATTATTAGCTGAGGCTCCAACGTACACAACTGCAGAGTGCTCCTCAAGCAAAATGAGGATTGCCTAGTTTCCAGTTCAGGTGGGGAGGATTCTGCTACAGTTAAACCCTGCTCAAAAGTCTAAACTTACTTTCGGTACTGGATTTTTTTGCACATATTCACCACCAGTATAAGCCCTCAGTCAAAGGAACAGAATTGCCTGGTCCTTTGGGTGATTAGAACTGGTTGTGTCCATGATAATCATTAACTGTTGCAAAAAGCCACCTTGGCACTAGAGGCAAGTATTCAAAATACAAGAAAACACTGCAGGAGTATTTCATCTTCCCCTCTGCTTGCTGTAAAGCTGGTCTTTTCTCCTTCAGTCTCTTGCGGATATAATCGTTCATATATAAATGGAAAATGTGTCCATGACTCATCTGCCTGCGTTACCAAGTGCATTCTTTAGTCCAGTAGCCAGATGTCCATTATGTGGGCTGCTAAGTGATTTACACTGATCGAGTATGCACTCTATGCAGCTCTTGCAAATTTTATATGCTGGCTGTACAGAGAATGAATGCGTGCTGATTATGCTCCAAATAGCAATGAACCCAATGACATAAGCCACTAACTCCCAGTAAGGAAGCCAGAAATACAGCTGTTGCTTCACTACCATACCATTAAATGTTAGTAAGGCTTTTAACATGGTCCCCCATAACTTCCTTCTCTCCCAGTTACAAAGATATGGATTTGATGGCTGGACTGTTCAACGAATGAGGAAAATGAATCAGTGTCTGGAAGCAGACCAGCGATGAGTGGTGTCCCTCAAGGGTCAGTGGGACCAAGGCTCTTTAATATTTTCATTGATGACATCAATAGTGGGATCAAGTGTATCTTCAGCAAGTTTGCAGATGACAGCACACTGTCTGATGTGGTCAACACCTTTGAGGGACAGGATGTGATCCAAAGAGATCTAGAGAAGCTCGAGCAATGGGCCCTGTAGAACCTCAACAAATCCAACTGCAGAACTGTACCTGGGTCCCTCACATTCAGCAATTCCTACTGTCAGTATGAGCTGGAGGATGAAAGGATTGAGCACAGCTCTGCCAAAAAGGGCTTGGGGATATTGATGGATGGGAAGCAGGACAAGAGCCAGCAATGTGTCCTCACAGCCCAGAAAGACAACCATACCTGGGGTGCATCAAAAGCAGCATGGCCAGCAGAGTGAGGGAGGTGATCCTGCTCCTCTATTCTGCACTGGTGAAGCCTCACCTGGAGCACTGCACCCAGATGTGGAGTCCACAGCACAGGAGGGACGCGGACCTGCTGGAGTGTGCCCAGAGAAGGGCCACAAAAAAGTGACACCATTGCTATTTTATATGCAAGGAGCTGAAAATGCCAAATGAAGTGAAGAATAAAACTCTTTTTCTTTTTTACACTTTACATGACATTTTAGAAATGTTTCATGATCTGTCATGACCCATAAACTTACATACTGTTAAATAACGCTTTCCTGTGAATGATTTCAGTGCAGGTCTCCTGTTGTTTCACTCTGAAAGTGAGTTTTCATTTCATATTGTAGCAGCAGTGCGAAGTCACAGCTGAAGCACTGATTGAGCACCTGGTGGGAAGGCAGGACCAACCCAGTGGAGCTCAGGAGCAAGCAGTGCAGCTGAGTGACGGGGAGGAGCAGAGCCAGGACAAGGGTTGGCGGAGGAGTGAAGCTTGCTTGCTAGAGATCTCTGATTTACTGGAGGCCTTCTAATGTAGTTTTTCTTCTTTTGTTTCTCTGTTTACGGCTGCTGCATTTGGGCTCGTTCTGATTTGTTACTGTCTAGGCTTGTGTTACTCAGCTGTTATTGCTGTACTGTTTATCCCATTACAGCTTTATGCATGTGAATGTGAATATCGACATACACAGTAATAAGCAATGTGAACTTTTCTGGGATCAGAGGAAGATACAGCTTTAAACGTTTAGCACTAGAGCACAAATCCAGAGCAACAATAACACCTGAGGAGTTCTGTAGGAGCTGCTTAACGGCAGCTGCCTTGAAGAGCGTGTTGTAAATGGCTAAATTACATTGCCCTCTGCCGGAGCTGCAGGAGATCGCAGATGGATGCTTAACGCAGAGACGAAACTGGCAGGAGAACCACGAGACAGATCGTAGTATCATAGAATCACAAGTTAAACTTGCTAAGAAGGTGGACTCTATATCCTTGAGCTTACAGGAAAACTAAAAAAGAATTATTTCTGACTTACGTGGGCAGATCAGCTCAGAGCTGGTGAGAGAAATGTTCCGTGACATTGTGGAGAAAGAAGGTCTCTTTGGATCCTGTGCCCTAGTTTATTATTTCTTATTATTATTGTTAGGTTTTGTTCAAAAAGAATACATAGTTTTTCCCACTGAAATGTTTTTATCATTATTTTGTTATTATTACTTAATAGTTTTTATTATTTTATTATTACTTGATGCCATCTAGCATTTGACTTAGACCGTCTTCTGCATCAAAGGTTGTCACAGTTTTAGTTGAATGACTTTAACTTTTGCACTGGAACACAAAAGTCAGAAATGTACCAAGATGAGAATGATGTATTGCAGTTGGGCTTTCGTCATTTTTAATGCTAACATTTATAGATTAATAAACTTGTATAGTGATAAACTGAAAGATAACTTCTGGATGAATCTGCATTTTAACTACAGATTTTCCTGGTCTCAGTGCATCTCTGCTGGACACCATGTGGTGTGCAAAAGATAAGAGTCTGCTCCAGAGCGTTGATGTATGTACATTACTTTAAAGCTGTTTACTTACTTGTGTTGACTTATGGGATGAGATTGGATGACCTGACTTAAAAGCAGATGAAGCTGCTTGTCAAACCCTGTAAGAGGTTCTCTGCAGAATCACGCTAAATGCTGAATGGCTCTCTGTGTCACGTTCAACATCCCTCATTCTTTCTTCCTTTTTCTGAATCCTCAGTTTCATATGCTTTCCTTGATCTATTTTTCTCCTTCCTCCCTATAAAGTAATAAATAGTAAACTGTTAAAAGATGTCCTTACTGAGCTTTCTTACATGAGTCAAGATTTGATTTTGTCAAGCAGTGGAAGAATTCAAAAATTAGCTTTTCTTTCCATGTTTTTTGTTGTTGTTGCTGTTGCTGTATGATATTCCTTTCTCTTATTTCAGGTGAATCAGCACATGTCATTGTTATGGTGCTGAAAGCACCATTTATAACTCAGAAATGGGCTCTGAATTTGTGCAGTGGGCAGAAATCGTGGCCTAAAAAGGCATCAAAGCCCTTTCAAAATGTTAAAGCGTGTTCCACAGAGACTCTTTTTGCATTGTGCTGTAGCACATAAAATCAGAATAATGGAAATACTTCATTAAGCATACTCTAATAACAGCTTCACACAAGGCACAACTTGAACTTTTTTTTCCCCTTTGAGACTGCATTTATATTACACATTTTATGTATTGTTTTCAGTATATGAAGTTTATTTTTTCCATCAGATGGTCACAAATAATGACTGGCATTTTTTTGGTATTTACAGAAAAAAACTGATGTTAAAGGAAGTAATAAGTGCTGAACTGTCTGGGAGTTCCCAGGTAATAAGTTAAGCATCCTGACAACACAACAGATGGGCTTCAGTAACTGGAAGTCAGGTATTTCATACACACTGTGTGAACAAAATTTGTCTGTGATGTTGGCCAAAAATCAGAGCTCACTGGTGATTCTCAAGGGTCTCCTTTATGTGGTTTGGAACAGAATTGTATGACGAGTTGCTAGACCGGATAATTAATACAAATTGTCTTAAATGCACTCTGCTAGGGGTGAGTGTGCTGGTTGTGGTTGAACTTCATGTGGCCTTTGCTTGACATCTCTACCATCCACCAGCAAAAGCAATAAATGTTACTGAATAAATAACTATTCTACGAAGGGTCAAGTCAAATCTCACCGTTACTTTCAGAGGAGAAGTTGACAGTTCTATCCTGGGTACAATATCCAGAGCAACAAGGCAATGTAAAATAGATTTTTAGAGAGATTCCTCTTCTGACAATTCCAAGCTTCATATTGAAAAATGGAGAAATGTAGTATAGCTAAATATGAAATGGCCAGGTGGGTTTATTCAATGTTGTGCTAAAGAAGAGAAAAACCCTACTATTAACATGAATTTTCATCAAGTAAAATTAGAATTTCTTAATACTGAATATTTTGATAAATAATTATGCGTATTTTAAACTACCATTTAAAAAGAGAATCTTAAACTGAGACCAAAACAAAAAAAACAACAGCTTACTGTAAAGCTGATTCCAGCCAGCTTGGAACAAAGATTACAGCTATGTGTACCCATAAGGTTTTCAGACTGAGAACTTCATCTAGATTGTCATTTTCCAACCGAGATGCATTATCTTTTCTGGTACATCTTCATTTGTTTGTTCACTTTAAATCACGTCTCCTTAATTTGAAATGCTCAAGTACACATTTAAGCATTCTTTTCTTTCTGGATCGTAGGCACCTTGTTTGATCTTAGTCTTCTCACTTCTTTTTGTTGTTTTTTGGACCCACGTTTTCTACTTTGAGTGATTTCGGCACCCAAGTTAAAACACTGGATATGCACTGCTAGGATGAGAAAATGGACACAGGTTGCTAAAAGATGTCTTCTTGCTTATGTCAATCTGCTGAGCTGAGCAATAGCGTGCTTTCTTCTGAGATTTTCCATTTGGTAGCACAGCTGATTTCCAGCCATTCCAATTTTTCACGCATATGAGTTCACTGACCACATGCTAAAAATGGAATTCCATTTACATTTAATATTTCTTCATTCCATTTCTTCTTTCTAGAAGGCTTGTTAGGCTCACGGCCTCCTTCTCCTGGTGCTCCTCCTCCTGTATCTTCTTGGGTTGCAATTTAAGAGCATGAACCTAAGTCATTGCAGAATGCTTTGTCTGTTTCTCTCCCCTCAGCACGTGAATACTTAGTGAGCTGCTGAAGAGACCTAATAGCTCTCAGTGTATAGACAAAATGCTTTAGAGAAAGTGGGTTTGTCAAATTAATGAATTCTGGTACTTCATCTTGTATCATCTAAGTGTAATCCAATTAAAAATAACACAAAATACAAGAACCATAAGTAACACAAAATACAAGAACTATAATGTCATCTATTCTGTCTTTGGGTGATTTTAACATCTCACAGGGGGTTCTGTACCTGAAGCTCGTGTTGTGACAAGGTGTGGGAAAATATGGCCAAATATTGCATAGATTTTGAAAACGTGCTTGTGAGAACACTGACAAGCTATTAACGGATTCACTCTTCTGTTTTTCCTTCCCAATTTCTACAGTCTGTATCAAGGTGGGTTATTGGAGTTGTATCTTCCGAAGCCTTTCTGCGCCTTAGCTTACTTTGGTGGGGCAACACGGAAATCACAGAAGGTAAGAATGCAGCATATTCTAACAAGAGCGGTCTCTCCAGGTTTATTTTACCTGTAAGGTCATATTTGTCCTCTGCAGTGAATAATCTGTATTTATGCTTAAAAGACCTAAGGATCAGCCAGATTTTTGATGAGGTTGGTGACAGACATTGTGACGCTTTTGGCTCTGGGTGAACTGTATGCTTTGAGCCAGAGGCAATTTAAACTGCAAGAGATGCTTTTGCTTCACTGTGGAGAGGAACTCTACTGTGCGTTACCAACTCTATTTGTTTAACTGCCTCCATTTCCAAAGCTGCTTAAAAAAATATAATTTCATCCTATGCTGCTGGGATTTAAGTTAGGTGCTGCTTCCTGTTCACTGGATCTAACTTAATGCCAGGCTGTGCATCTCTAAGGATACTGCAGCTGTGATAGTTAAGGATGCTGTGAAATTGAAAAAACTAGCCACTTTTCTGCTCACTGATGCATATTTTTGAGCTCTCGTTTTCCTTCATTCATAATAGATAACTGTTTTACCTTTGAAAGCCACAAACCAATTGCAGCTGCTTGGAGGAGTTTTGAGCAAGTGAAAGATTTGGTTGAACCAAGGACTGTGGAGGATGTCAGGATTCATGTGATATTAAAGAAGGTGGAAGAATAGTCATGGATTTTTATTTCCTTTTCTGTTTTTGTTGTTTTTCATGCTGCAAACAAGGAAATTGCAGTTGCTGTCATTGGATGCTGCCTGGTCCCAGATTAAAAGCAAGAACTGAGAGGCTCCCGAGTTCTCTATTTACAACATGGAAAGACAGAAGCACTTGAAAATAAGATACTAAAGTCAGTGAGAGCCTTTTTTTCCTGATCTCAAGGCCTCTTAATTGCAAGCTTTTTTGAAGGGATGAGATGTGTTGCTTAAATTAGTATTGGATCAATGTATACTTAAGAGGCTTGTCACATGGTGAATTACATACACTGCTCCTTGGGCACAAATCTATTTCAAACAGGCATGGGGCTGTTAACTACTTAACTGATGTTACCCTGTTGTACATACACTTGTTCCTATTATTTCATTTCTACTTGTGCTAAAAATATGATCTTCCACCACATGACTCACATGGTCTGGGGTTGGACTCAATGATCCGAGAGACCTTTTTCAACCTTAATGATTCTATGACAGGTTTGTAAGCACTTCAAATGCAGTTGAATGGAGTCTTGGATTGCTTTGAAAGCACCTGGCTGATCAGCCTGCTACCCTTCATACGAAGTGTTGGAAGTGCACTTTCAGATAATGCTTTCTATCTTTGGAGTTTAGGGAGGAAGATTAAACTGCTGAAGGTTATCGTGATGCTTCCAAGAACGTTAGTTTTTGGCTTGAGCAGTATGTCATTTTTGGTGTGCCACACTTCTATCTCTGACTCTGTAAAAGCAAACAGTCCCAGTAACTAAGGAACAGCACAGTTCAATGTTTTCTTAAGAACAACTTTGCTGCTTAGGGATGTGATTTACTACTCGTGTGTGTGTACGTACATGCAGAGACAAAAAGTGAGGATGATCTCATCTTAACTAGCTCACATGAGCAGTCTGTCTCATTTTTTTCAGTCTCATAGCCAAAGACAAATTTACTGTAAGCAGATGGAACTCCATTGAGTTGTAGTACTGCCATTAGTGTCAGTAATCACTTGGTTGCAATGATAATTCTCTCTGTAGTAATCAATGCTTGCAATGTAAGCCTGAAAGAAAAAAAAACTGATTATCTTGCAGCTTTCTCAGTATTTTTGCACAGACAGGAAAGAAGGAGAAGTTTTAGTTGGGAAACGTTCAGGATTTTACAAGTAAGTCTTTGCATTTTCTTCATTGAATTTCGGTGCTTTTTAGAAGTCTGTTCTTACACCAATTTATCAGCACTTGGACTTAGAATCAATTTTACTTTTTCTTTACCGTTTTACTTAGAATCAGTTATTAGTGATGTCATACAGCAAGTGCCAGAGACATGAAATAGACCTGCAGGTATTCCTAACATCTGGGCCAAAGAAGCATCTTCACGTAAACAATGAGAAATTTTCACAGAACAGCGAGTCATCTTCCTCTTAAAAAGACAAAAATAAGAAGATTGAGAGACAAAAAGAATAGGATGGTAAACAAATTCTAGTCAAGTGTAGATGCTTCATAAAGACCTTGTTTCGTTAATTTCCTAATAATTCAATTTCCAAATCTTGCATGCTCGTAGCAAAGCAGTTAATAGGCTTTACCAGAAGAAAAACTTTCTATTTGTGTAATATTTATTGACGTTAAACCCACATTATACCAGCACAACAATCCAAAGTAATGATAGTACATTTTTTATAAATACAAATAGAGAGTGGCAACATAATGCTAGTGAAGCTAAAAAAAAAAAAAAAAAAAAAAAAAAAAAAAAAAAATTAGCATGTCACAGTTGTGGAAAAATCTTGCAAATGATATGACATACTTTTTCTAGAATATCAGATTATTCCCATACAACAAAGCATGACATTAATTTAGAGGAACGATTCCCAGAACTGGTCATGTCCTGCACCAATTTGCATAGAATAATACTAACTTATGTGCTAAAGTTTATTAGTCACTAAAAAACAAACAAACTTTGTGTACTTACAGGGAATACACTTATAGCAGTAATGCAATATATGGTGTACACAATTACAAAATAAAAAAAACAACTAAGTACAGGACTTCTGAGTAACTGAACTGGGATAAAAGATTTCAACACTTTTATTATAAATAATGAAAGATACCATGTATGTGCTTCATATAAGGAATACAGTGTTTTCCTTTCATAGCAAAGTATGCTCGTACCATCAAACACTCATTTTTCTTGTCAGGCCTAGCAACTCTTCCATCCCTCCCTCCCCTTCATCTGAAATTCATTTGGTTCTAATTTAAAACTACCTTGTCAGACTTGACGAGGTAGAGCTCCAGTTTGATGTGGATTTGCCTTGCATTCTGAAAGGAGCATTTCATCTACTGCACGCAGCCCCTACCCATTAACAGAGCTGTTGTAGGCAAACAACAGGAAGGATGAGGAAAAAAAAAATCCAGAAACATATATGATACGAAGAAAAAGTGGCGCAAGTTTTCTTGTTTTGTCCATCATCTTCTGCCTCCTCAGATTCGCAAGCTTATCACCTATGGTGTTTACTTTTCATCGATATTCCTACTGCAGTCTCAACCCACTTCTCACTTACTGTGCGTTTCTAAAATCCTCACACGTGTTACTCAAGTGCTAAGCAGTCAAACGGCCCTTACATACATTGCTCAGTTTTCAGCTCACCTTAGAACTTCAGATTCTTCAGCAAGAGTGTTAGGAGGCTGCAGGCTGTCTTCAGGAAATCCACGCAGAGTTTCAGCCTCTTGCCCTGTCCCCCTCCCACCCCTTGCAGCAAACTACTGCAGCGGTTCATACCGTAGGCACTTTCTCTCCTCTAGTTCCTAAGACTTATCATCTGGGGTAGACTTTGTTATGTATCTTCTTCATTAGTTTGAAGAGGTTACACCACTCGTGCTTAACCCTCTTTGCTGTATGTTTCTAAGTAAGCCTCCTCCTAGGTGGCAGAAAGGAGAAATAGAAAAGAATTAAAAACTGGGGCTTCAACGTTACTTAAAAGAATTGTCCATGTTAATGGCATTTAAGGCAAAGTATCATTTTCATTGTAGAATAAAAAACAGTTTGCAGAGATGCAGCGTTTGCTTACGTTTCTCTTCCTTGTCTCTTCCTTTTTTATTACAATATTGCACTTGTTCACTGTAGCTACCAGAATGCATTGCCATTTTAGAACTATAGATTACCGTGCATCCTAGTTTTCTTTGTCATCTAATGGCCTCAAAGAGAACATCTCGCACCATTAGCATTGTGTAACATCTGCTTACTGCTTACGAAGGCACGTGGTGGTTGGTAGTGTTTTCTTCAGAAAAGTCTGTTTCACTGATGCATTTTGGCCTTTATGAAAAGAGTTATTCATTCAAAGAGCTGAAGCAACTTAGGTATAAGGAAATGGTGAACGTGATTTGTTGTGCAATGTGTACATTTCTATTAATAATCTACCTATTCTTCTAATTTGGTATACTGAATAAGGAATACATGGTTACTGTGTTTGTTGTTTATCTTTTGTACTTGAAGGTGTTTGCCTTTGCATAAAGTGACATAGGAGTATCATTGGTCAAGGCAATGGCTTTCAGTGTTTCTGCTTTGAAAGAAGATGATGGAAGTGGTGGCTCGGATCTAGAGGTCATCGCTCTCTACCAAACCAGGCTGCATTGTCAGATGGACTGGATTTGCCTCCGGCTGGAAAGCTGCTTTGATGTCTAGTCCTTGGTCACACAGTGCAGCGTATCGGCTGGTTGAGGGCCGCACCTTCTTTGGCTTGGTTGTCTGAGGTGGTTGTTGCCACTGAGCTATACATTAAAAAGGAAAGAATAAAAATTAGGCATCATCATCTCTGCAACAGTGTGCATCAGATTCATAATCTGTCCTTCGTAAAGAGACACTCATTTCTGGGCAGCAGAAAAGGATTACACGAAAGGTAAGTCTCATTTCTTGGTGCGTTTATTTTTTTCCTCAGCTTCTAGTTTCACCTTCAAACGTGAGGAATGAAAACAAGCATCTGTGGTTGTTACCTTGACTTTTTGGCATTCCTTTCTACCTTTCCTAGAATCAGTGAGAAGGTTAACAGCGAGGTATGTGTTTCTGTGCTCTAGTATTACAGTGTCAGCCTGTTCTAGGGTGACTGGCTGCAATGGGAAATCATCTGGTTGCCATTGCCACCCCCTGAATCCAGAGGAACGTTGAGCCAAGGTTCTAATTCCCAAGTCTCCCTATCTCTGCCACCCCAGAAAACATCTACCGTTCCCATTTTCCCACTCATTTATTCTTGTTATGAGGGGATTGGTAATGGGATTTTAGTTTAAGAGGATGTTCACTGTGTAAGGGGCTGCTCTGGAGCAAACTATAGAGTTAGGCAGAAAGGCCTAACTGCTACAGTTCTGGTAGTTGTCACAGGCGTACTACACACTAAGGTGAAAAAGAATACAACAAGTTAGGGAAGTGCTCACAGTAATAGTAATAATGATCCACAAGTCATCTAATCATGCCGTTATCTGTTGTTAATTAGCTATATTTAATATACTAAGCAAAAATAGAATGCATGCATGCTTGTTTTATTTTGGTATCTGAAAGATGGCGGCAGTACTTTGACAGAGCATTTGTTGTCTTGATGTGGATCGTTATTATTGAGGAGAAACTATAAACAAAAGAAAGAGAGACCAACGTAAATGATTCTGTGAACAATCTGA